TATAATATAATAATCGTTATTTTTATCAGTGAGCCAAATTTATACATTCGAAGAAACTACCGAAATACCTACCTAATTCATTTAATGCACAACAAAACCAAATCACAAAGGAAAACAAAAACAGATATGTAGGTAGGCAGGTACCTTGGTAAATCGTATTTCTTTAAAATCAATCAAGGTAGGAGGTAGGTACCTACTGCTTGCTGTTGCTTACCTGCTGAAATAGTAAGCACTTAACACCACCACGTTGATTCTTCTCTAATAGCACAGATAACAGAATACTATTAAAAACAAAAAATATAAAAAAGTAATGTTCATGAATAGCGCCATCCGAAAAACCTCAGATTTTTAGTGCAAGTAAACTTGATTTTAATGACGGGTGGCGACATCTCTTCAGTTTCACACGCAACAGCTTGGTTTTCGAATTGTTATTCGAGTTGGTAGCGCCTACTTCTATTAACATCCAGGATCAATCTTCACTTGAAAATTATTGGATAATACTCGATTAAGGGACTAAAATAAATCATAACAGCTATTTAGTATCTGTCTACTGTAAACAGCTGATTATTTAATATCTATTTGATGTTATATTAGGACACTGAAGGAAGTCGGGTTTTTTTACTAATATTGTTTTAATTAAAATATCTACCTACATAACGTTAAAATTAACAATAACTATTAAAAAGTCATGTTCATAAATAGCGCGATGTGAAAAAATTGCAATATCACAACTCAGATTTTTAAACAATTAAAAATACTCATTTTAAATAAGGGTGGTGCCATCTATTAAGTTATTCAAAAAATATTATTTCCAGAGAGACTACTCGGTTGAGTTGGTATTCGAGATGGTAGCGCCATCTCTTATTATTATTAGCAACATCCAGAATCTATAATCACTCGAAAATGATATTTTTATATTATAAATTTAGAGTAGTATTTGCTAGATTTAATTTTAAAAATGATATTAGAAAGAAATTGCGTAAAATTACCTCGATTTAATAAATGAAACACTAACAAAAATACTCGGTATTGAACACGAGTGGTGCCATCTCGTATTAAGATAGCAACTTCCACATTTCAAATTTAATCTGTCTTCGTGACAGTAGCGCCATCTCTATCGGGACCAACCATGAAAATGATTAATTTAGTTGAAAATTATGTAAATTCGAATACATAAATTAAAAAAAAAGTAGCCTATAACAGTCTCATAAGTTCAAGCTATACATTTACCAAATTTCAACCAAATCGGTTCAGCGGTTTAGGCGTGAAGAGAAGACAAACAAACAAACAAACAAACACACTTTCCCATTTATAATATTAGTATGAATTTACGCAGTGTAGTTATTATTGGTTTATATTCCTAATGTTTTATTCTCAACAATGAATTAAACAACTAGATCTACGCACGAGTGCCAATACCACATTTTTTTGTGCACAAGTAAAAGTTGACAATAAAATGCGATTCAAATAAGAATAGGAAAGCCAATGACCTCCATCTGTCAAATGACGCTTGAAAAGTACGGTTTGCAAAAAATCTTAGAACTCTTTTTTAGCACTCAGCTACTTCTAGAATAAAAAAACCAAAAATTTATAAACAATCATGACGACGATGACAACTCCGGTAGTTATGCAGAGCTGAGCGGAATTGAAGAGCTAGATTCCGATTAATATTTTTACTCACACAGTCATAAATGTTATTAAAAATCGGTGTTTTTTCTCACTTAACCTTAATAAATAAGTTTTATTTAAAAAAACCTGATATTTTATCTCACTTAATCTTAGTAAATAAGTTTTATAGAAGAAAAACTTTTCTTGCTCACTCTACCTATTTTGATTCAATTGACAGCTTTGACATCACAAAATGGCGCTCAGTCGATCCTATTCTTAGTTGAATCGCATTATACGTATATAACAAAAAAAAAATAGCGTAGGGATGAAGATTGAAGTACATACATAACATTACCTTATGTACTATCTATTTTGTGATGATAGTATGCAGCAACAAGAAAGCCATCTCCGCATTGTTGTGATGGGCAACTTACGGAACCGATATACACTTAACTTTATATTTTGGTATATCTGTTTACGAATACAATAGCGCCCAACTACTTTATTATTAGCAATCGTTGGCAATGTAAATCAGTCCACTATCGAGGCCAGGTCGAATCGATCATCTCCTTAAGATCTCTCAACAGCTATCCGCGTGCAATTTCGCGAATCGATGAGATATCCACGATTTATTGCTTCTTTTGTGAGAGTTATCCAACTAAACACTGGACTTCTGCAAACAAATTGTGGTTGGCTCAGTGAAAGCTTTGATTTTGCACTTTATCTTCGCTGGATAAGAATCTAAATTGTTTCCATTGAGATGTTGTGTTGCTGTAGGCATGCTTTTATTTCTATCTTACCATCTTTTTGCCACCAAATGTTGGCCAACAACTAAACCAACTTAAAATCCTGTTTAATCTCCAAAACCATTAACCGAGTGCGCATCTATTAATATTGCACCTTATTTATGTTATTTCTCGTCGCTCTTTTCTTTTATTTTTTAACAGGAAAGATTATCAAAAAAATGATCTATGAGAATACTGGTACTGATGACGTCATCACTACTATAACTATTATCACAATGTTCACATGCCCTTAAATTTGCTATGAACATGTGTGGTTCTTTTATTTATTTATTGACCTCATTTGACCCATTGTTGATGCTGAGTAAAGCACTTTAAAAACAGATGATGATTATTCACAAAAGAGCGTTGTTTCAAATATGCTACTAATGAATTGGAATATATTATTACATTTTATATTATAATAAAATTTAATATAAAGCGATATGGTTTATATGTTTTTATGAAAATATAAGTCGGTTTTAACATTCCCTACCCAAAGTAGTACAAGTAGAACCTTTATAGAATTCAGGACAGACTGGCTGATATTCGGTAGATCTATCTTCAGATTGAGACGGATACGTAGATGTTTTATTATTAGGTCAGTTGATTATTATAACAAAAAATAATCCATAAACATTAAAATGATTATGAAACTATATTTATGTAGCGAATCACCAAGGATTCCATAGCAGAGATGACACCCAGAAAACCACTGGGGCTTTCGCTATTGCCAGTTTGAGATCCCTAAAGACCTCTCCGTAAATCAAAATAGTTATATTTTGCAACCGGGTTTGAACCACTGCGGAGGGGAGAGGACTCGTCGACGATGAAGAAACGTGTTTCCATTGTATAAGAGTTAACTGAGTAGATTTATTATAGTAAGAGGCCTAAACGAATATATTCTTCTTACCCAACTAATTCTGGATCAATCTTCTATCTCAGTGAAAAGTGGACATTAAGGTCATCTGGGACTAATAGCAATTAGACGACCTAACCTAATTGCTTTCATTAAATGTAACTGAATCAAAAATCTCAATTTCCCTTCCCTTTATTTTGACTGAATATAAAAACAAATGATTTTTAATACTTCTGAGGTCAGCGGAAGGTGAATTAGAGAAAATTGCATTAGGCATACGAAGCTTCGAAGTAAATAAAGGTGGTGGGAGAAACATGGAAGTGCCTCCATTACTATTTACTGCGGCTGTGACGTCACATCCGTAGCTGACAATGCCTCCGGGCGAAGTTGGCAGCGCGCCTGCTACGCACGAGCCGAATTGCGTTTTACGTAACAATACGTTGGCCGGTCCGGGATGAATAGTTATTGTTTTGTTTTTGGTAGCTATTCTGCTAAAAAGGCCACGAGCCAACTCTATCGCACCGTTTAGAATTCGTTCGCGTTTCTTCTGGTCATAACGTGAAACTTATGTTAAGGCATGCTCATAAAAATATACATTTACGGTAGGTTTTATCATAGAGTAGAAGCATCAAATTGTGTTTCCTTGTGTATTTATATCATCATTAAACCAGATAAACTTTGCAAATGGTAAATTTGTCCCACCAGGAACGTATGAGGCAGAAAAGAGATTAGGATGATACGGCAAAAAATTTAAAAGGGATGTTTAGATGGTTTGGATATAAAAAGGATAAGTAAAAAGGGATAAATGGTAAATATAATAAAGTTGGAATAAGTAACAGAGACGAAGACGACCGATACACAAACAGAAGCTTTTGTGATCGATCATAATCTTTTAGAAAGATAGGATCAAAGTAAATAATGTAACAATAATTTATAATGTGAAAGTAAGAAAGATTTTCGGTTTAAATGACAGTGTAGGTTTTAAAATTAATAGAGGTATGCTGCGTTCGTTCAAAATTGTAGAAAAAACGCCAATTTTAGGATTATGCGCCGCTGTCGAATCAGATATACAGACAGTACGTGAAAGTGGAAAGATGCTAAGGATGGCCAAGATTCACCTACCATCAAATTGATCGCATTTTGAAGATAATTATGTAGGTGAAGTCAGAACATTCAAAACTGGCCTGTGTTAATGATAAGGGTAATTAATGCAAAGGAAGTAAAAGAAAAAAAATACGATATATATAAAACTATAAAGCTTTATATACAAAATATGGATTTTATCAAAAATAAAGTGTGTCGTAATATATATCTATCTAGGCATAACGAACCGTGTCAGGCTGAAGATAGGCACTACAATTTTTATTGATTTTCTTTTACCGTTATCTATCAGTTATACTCATTTCATCAACAGATGGTGCAATTACTTTTTAGTTGTATGATTATACTGCTTCCAATTTATTCTGAAAGCGCAGTTTTTCAAAGGTAACTTACGTACTCGATTGCTATAACAGACAAATGAACCCTTGCAGGTGGAGATGCTTAACAAAATTATTTGTTATTTTTACTGTAGTTTTTTTCATTTTATTTTGTAATTATACGCACTGTTTCACATCTGTGTTGTTTTTAATTATCAGGCTGAGTATACTTCCTTGATATTTTATTTAATCAAAACAAAACTTTGTTCGACCCTTTGTGAATATCATCTCGTAAATATTCATGATATTATAATCATTTTCAAAATTAGAAACATGATCTCTAAACACCAGCGTCAACTTGACAGATTTTGTTTGGCCATGGCGTAAGATACGAGACAGGATAAACGTTGAATTTATGCGACGTCAGGTTCTTTACAATCTTTGCTAGAAAGTATATATTTATTATCACATCACAACAACTTATCTTATTGGTGTGTTCAAATCTCTTACCCTTCGTGTCTTTATTACTATGTGTACACGTATATATGTTAAGTATGCGGAATTGATGAGGCAGATCGTTAGCAGTTAAACAGTTACCTCAACTTAACAAATGGCCCGTTGTATTTAATTAGTAACGTCCTCCTCGTAAAGGAGCGAGTCGTCGTGATAGTAGTTAGTAGAAATAATGAGGTCAATAAAATTCTAATTAAGCACCTTTGTTATGGAAATTAAAAAAAAAGACCAGACACAATCACAGAGACTCTTACTAATTACATCAAGCCGACGGACTTCGAATCCGGGACTTTACAGATGACGAGACCATAAAAGCCTCCAAAGATCTGTAAAAAGTTGCTTGAATCTATTAATAATGAACAATAGTTTTGGCGTTCAAAATTCACTTGCGTTACTATATCTCACATAAACTCATTGTCTCATGTCAGAACCTTGGGTGACCCCAATTCTCGCCCTGTTTCACCCCCTCCACCAAGGTCGTTCGACTACGTACAGCTAATGTTATTGGACGGCATACGGTGTGTGTCACATCTATACGCAAATTGTAATTCAATTGATGAGACAGACCAACCAACCGTGTCGGCACGTTTTGACAACACGCATGAATATTATCGTAGGTTGGTTTAGAATAAGACAAGGAGATAGTATTGTCAAATGCGGAGAAAAATAATATTGCACCTTTGTGACCTTTACTGCGCATAGTTAATATACTAGAAGTTCAACCTGATGCTTTGACCGAGTTGGATATAAAAAAAAGAAGTAAAATTCTTAAAATTAAATCTAAAAAGTTACCATTTATAGAATAATGTTTATTTAAGGCGAGGACGGCTGGAGCAGAATATTTTAGTGTAGTAGTAGCTTTGTCTATAAAATTAGAGCCTTCTTTTGCTTCTTACACCTAACATCAGGTGAGGTAGGCCGCTATGTATAAGTAAATCGAAACATTATATAATACATAAAGATTTATAAAACGTTGAATTTAATTTATTCAGTAAGTTTCCCAACAGGAATGGCGATATAATAATTAATAAACTAATGCTAGGTATCATAGGTTTTTTAAAAGGGAGTAATTATAATAAAAAATAGCACTTTGAAATACTTTGTAATATAAACTAATTGAACACTTTTAAGGTAGCCAAGATGGTTAACTTGAAGACGAATTTCCGGGAGAGGAATTTAGTCACCGTTACAATTACATTATGATTAGTCTTACTTTTGCGTCGGCAATTCAATTTCTGTTTAAGGCAAAAGACGCTTTCCTTGCGAATGTGGAAGTCGTAACAGAAACGCGAATTACGAGATTAACCTCCTCGAATTTAAGTTTAATATTCATTGTTGTAGGAGAATGGGGGTGTGATCCGAAGGCGTCGGTAATAGGCCTCCGGGACCCTAGCGGCTGTCGACAATCTGAATTATTGAGTAGCTATAATTCTACTTATATTATCAATGCTGAAGTATGGATGTTCAAAACGATTCAGCGGATTTGGGACGAAATTGGTACCTACACTAACTAATATTATCTGGCTATATGAGACATTTTCTTTTGAATAGCAAAGACAGACACATTAGTTTAAATCAAAAGTGAATAGTTTTTCAAACTGTTATATTTTATATAAAGTTATTAGTAGTTCCGAAATCTTCAATTTAGGAGTTTAAAAAAATGTATTGAAGTAACACTTGGGACGCTTTTTGTGATACCTACATAGTTAAATGTGACTATAGATAAAATACTATAGCCAAAATAACCATTTGACTGTTTTAGAATTGGATTATTTGACAACAGGCCCTGAATCTCAAAGAAACAAATATTGTGTTTACTAAGGTAGATAAGGACGATTTTAAAGGCTGGAACGATTTTTGAAGTAGAGCGAGTGATTCAAAGTAAGGCACTTGAACTTTTAAAATGTGTTGTTCTCGAGGTGGACACTACTTTTTATCACACACTATGAGAGTTAGGTAACTACAAATATTAAGGAAAAGTTTATATATTACCATGCAGGAACAACAAGACAATCTTGGAAATAGGTCTAACACACATTTTCTGAAAAATATTTCACTTTTCTTGCATTTTTCCAAACTCTGAAATTTTTATAATATGCTTTTATTATTGTTCGAGGAACTTCCTAGGTACAAGTATTTGTATCAGATCATATTTTTAGCACACTTTCATTCTCACTACTCGAGAAAGTCAGTTTTTTTTCAAAACCAAATAAATACGAGTTTCAGTAAATAATTAAGAACGAAGGCGGAATCTATTTCGCGCATTTGTATTTCTTCACAAACTTTTTGGTTGTCGAACGCTAAGTTTATGATGCGACTTATATTATTCATAAAATGTTTGTGATTGATGTCTTTGGTGATTGGAACTTTTACTAACAATATCCACATTCCTATTTCAAATCACTTTTACTCCTTAGAAATGAAAACCTCATTTTGGTTCTTAGTTTGTCTTATCATTAATAGTAATAATATAAACATACATATAAATATAAAACGTACAAGTCTTTTTAATCCGGAAAATAGCATTATATTTCATCTTCCTTCCGGAATCATTGAATATTTTATTCATTTTAATGTAGCTAATGGAAATGACTAGCTGCTGTCTCGTATATTAATCAACGCTGCCTTCGTTTTAAAGCTTCCATAAATTATTAATGTTCGACTATTTTAGAGGCTATCTTTCCTTTTTTTATGGGAAACTTTGGAGGGAAAAGGCTCTATTGGAAAGTGACACAAAGCGAAAGACAACTTTTCCATTATGCCGATCTCGCATGTTTGTTCTTTTATATTTATAGCAACGTTACTTTTTTGTGTTAGGATATCACTTAGAGTACACTTTAAAAACTGGCCAAGTGCAAGTTGGTCCCTGGCACGAAGGGTTCTGTACCATAATCAATTCAACATTAGACACTCTCTTATGATATCGAGCAAAAAAGGGCAAAATCTCGGGTGCGTTGTACTTTTATGGGAGCCCCCGTTTTAATATTTATTATATTTACTATATACTTTTTAACGGTTTTCCTGTAATTTACAAGCATAGGGATTCCATTTTTTTTCATATTTTTTAGAAGCTGAGGTTTCAGCGATAAGACTTGGGGGCAGGTAAATTTTCATTTATCATTTGTTAAAAAATGTAAATTTTCACGTTGAACCCTTTCATTTGACCCCCGAACATTACCCCATGTATGTACCAAACTTAAACTTGACCAACTGTGACGGACAGACATAAAGACAATCGAGTGTAGTAGGGATTTGATGATGAATAATGAGAACATATGAACGAAAAACATAACATTATAATAAAGCTACATTCATATTTCCATTATAACTAAAAAGCATAGATACGGCAATCCATTGATCTCGAGATAACGGAAAATGTGTTTCTGAACACAACGTGAACGACGTGTGGTGACAAGTTTTTCATTATAACAAAAAAAGTAGGTAAAAATCGTGAAAACAATAATATAAATGCGCATCACGAATCTAATACGCATGAAACGAAAGGTAAAATTATACAAGACAAAACAAATAATATAAATTCTTAGACTCACGCTTTTATATCTCACCGATACATATGTTTTCGTACACAAAAAATCAGGAAAATGAGATCTAAACAAAAAATATACAAATTTTGTGTGTGAGAAACAATAATTGTGCTGAGATCGCGGACCGCATCCGTATCATATCCCGGGTTTCGGGCAAAGTGTCCGAAAAGGTTTTTGTTGAATTATTTATCGGTGGGACCACTGAATTTTTTCTTATTAAGTCCGAACAGAACACGCGCATATTTCTCTGATGGAGTTTGACAAAGTGTTTATATTATCTTCCCGTTGAAACTTGCCTTATATCGATTTTAGACTTTGAGCCATTACATAAGTTCCTAACAAATAGACTAATTCAAATTATTTAACGAAATTAATATAATTTTATTTTGAACATACCAGTTGTTATATTTCAATCAACTGAAAGTCTGTCTATATATAATGTTCCAAGAAAAACATATGAGTGATGAGTTCATCATAGTGAGAAATTATTTTAAAGGTTGATCACGATTGTACTGCTAAATCTATGATTATAACCACACTCAAATCGTGACTGTTTTTTCGTTAGGGCTAAAAATGGCTGAATACTTTAAATATTAATTTAAACTAAAGGCTTAAAATGAAAATTATTTTTCAAATTATCGATAGTACTATAAACGTTATATGTCTGTACAATAATTGCTTGATAGTTTTTAATTTACTACAATGCAAATTGACCTATTTGGTAATAATCTTAAATGTTGACGCATATGACGAAACCCTGTCAATGACATTTTGGAGTTGAATAGAATATCTATAGGTTGCAAAGTTTGTTAAAGAGTCATGGGTCGGTTCTTTGGAAAAACAAAGCAATGCTTTCGTCCGAAGATTAACTAAAGAGACCAAAGGGACCCCCAACTGTTCCCATAATAAAATTCGTTTATTACGAGGAAACTCGCGTAAGCCGTAATTTATTTCGACGCTCAACTTTCAATATTCAAGAACAATAATATATTAGCAGGTGCCAACGCGGCACTCCCACCATGGGTCGTTTTGTGATTCAACTTTTCGTACTACATAATTGATTTCAATTGAAACCCTTACGAATGATTTTGTTTATTAAACTGTAAGAATGATAATCGGATCTACTTAACGTTTTTAAATATCTGCCTGTATAATAAAACTTACTAAAATTTAGATTACAGCGGAATTTTGATGCTCAGTTGTCTGTACTTTTGAAAACATAGGATAGATTAATCACAGACAATATAAAAAAATATTATGACTTATTAAAATGAGTGTCAGATATTCCTTTACTTGAATAAATAATACAAGCATAATATTTCTTCGGCACAATATACCAAGCCTCGTTATTACACGCGACATTTTCGTTAAACGTTTACTTTAATCAAATCTTGTTTGTTGTTGCAGGATGAGAGAATACGTAGAGGAAAATGAGAAAAATGATCCACTCATACATGCCCCCGACAAGAAAAACAACCCTTGGGCTGAGAAAGGAAAATGCATCATCATGTAATCATAAAGTTATGTAATGTATAAAAATATCACCAAATTCTAAATCATTCGAATCAGTTAGACGGTTATGGATGAACTAAAACGCTTGTCTGGAGAAAAGTAGTTTTGCTCAAGACAGAAGATTTATATTGCCTCAGAATGAAGAGATGAAACAATCAAAGAAGTTTTGGATGAGCTGCATGGTGGAACAGATACTGCCAGACAATATATACACCATAGCGTTGTAGTACTGCCGACCCAATAACACATCAACCTAAGAGCCAAAAGTTCGGTTCGGTTTAGTTAATTGCGTTATTAGTTTTTCGTTCCCAAGCAAACAAATCTAGTCCTTATAATTATGTAACATTGTAAAGGATTGTATATTTGACTGTGCGCGACGCAAGAGAGTACTTATGAATGTTTTGTTAAAAAAAAGTTAAAATGGTTGTAAATACGTTAAATTTTGTATTTCTAGTAATAGAATGTTCGGTCACGAATCTATCGGTAGAGGTAACTGGGAAAGTAATTAATAGTGAGCGCGATAAAATGTAATGAAACAATGTAAATTAAAATGATTTAAACAACTTTACAACCGATTTTCATAGTCTATTATGTTTTGTTCCAACTAAATGTAGTGTTACCATGATAATTGTTGATTCATTTGAGTTTTATTTCTCGTCAATATAAGTTGATTCAGTTTAAAAGAACCCATGCAGTTCCATACAAATCAAAGCAACTTCCTCTTCCATTTTTGTATGGAGTTGATATGGATTCGTCCACGAACCAATCGTAAGAGGCTAAAAAATCTAATTTTGCTTTTTCGATTGGTTTGGATTATGATAGTTTTAATTAATCTAATAAATCAAATTTTGCTTTTTCGATTGTGTTGGATTATGTTGGTTTTTATTAATCGTAAATAAATAAGAGATCAGTTTTGCCATCAATATTAAGAAATAAAAAAACTAATAAATGTGAAGATTCTTTGAGCTCAAGAATCTTCGTATTTCAAATGATTATATAATTAAACTATAGGGTTAAATCGCAAATCACAACTTAACAGCTATTTGCTGAGTCATGGAATGCTAGGATATTGTTGAAGGTTTATATTATTGGCAATAAAGAGAGCTAGGTGTAGGTAAAGAATGGTGGTGTAAAAATAGTTTACCGACAGTAAATTTAAGGTAACTTGAACGATTAAAATACGAGGTAACATAATCTTGTTCGAAACCAAAGTTATTGTTAAGATTATTTAGGATACTTTTTTATGAACACAGGTACATTCCGCAGTGCCATTAACTAGTAATGCTTCTATAAAATATCTCTTAGCGATTTTCTGTACAGCAGATTTAACGTATTTGTATTACTCTGCTTCATAACCCAGTTCTTCTCTATCTATTGTTTTGTGAGTAGCCGCCTCTTCTAATACATTTTGCGTGTCTCCCTCATCCGACCCTAAGCATTATAAGTAATTAAAACAACTATCAAGTTTAAATCTAGCACTTGATTAGCTTAGTATAATTCAAAAATAAATTGAGAAAATCTACCTAAGTCATTCATGGTTTACTTATAAAAGCAAACTATCGTAGTTTCCAAATAAACTTCTTCTAAATTATAATCTAAGAATTCTAGGATTGGAATTCTCAAACTTTTCTTGATTGACACGAATTGTTTGGTGAAATGTAACCAGTCAGTGAAAATTGAATACAATTGAGAAAAGTTCAAGGCATCCAGACCTGAGTAGCGCTATTAATCTAACATTCCATTTAAAAGGATTGCCTTTAATCCTAATTTTGATTAAAATAGTTAAACGAATAAACTATTGCACTGTAGATAAATATAGATTAAAAATAAATAAATAAACTAACTTTAAACTTAAAATTTCTAAATCTTAAAAATAGCTTCCCCTTTACCATATCTAGACTTGAAGTATGGAGAATCATTCTGGCTGTGAATACTTCCGGTTAATTTAGATGCTTATATCTCAACGTCGCTAGGGACAAAACATCTACTTTTATATCGACGATAAAATTATGCTAATACCGACAATAAATTCAATCTTTCGAACCATGCGGACATAAAAATACACTTCGAGAGCTTACGCCATAGATTCATATGCATCACTTCTGGAACGAGGAACTTATGTCAATTCCTTATACGTACTTTTATAAGTTATATCTTCAACATATTAATGAAACACGGCATCTTCATCTTTACTCTCCACTATATTATTAGTTCCACCTTACAATTTCTTCTCCATGATAAGTTAAACATTATAATCTATTCTTTATTAGTAATAAACTAGTCTTTAAATTAGGATTTAGCGATTAATCGGTAGAATTATTTATAAAATAAGAAACAAGAATCAAAGTTGTTTGTTAATCTATATGATAAAATTTGCAATTCAGAGAATTAACCTTAGATGATAATGATAATAAAAAAAAATGAAATGTAATTGTTTATTTAAAATTAACCTGTAGTCATTAGCAAAGTGACATTTTAAGATGGCAAGACTCCTCTCTTGGTCTTAATTTTACGTCTTGTTATTTCTCATTATCGATAATTATCATGGTAGCACGTAAGACGTATATTTATTTAAAAGCTTTATTTATATTATTCCGTTTTTATGCTAAGTTTTTAAAACCAAAGAATAATCTTCAAAACAATGTATTTTATTAATTAAATGATTTCAAAGCGGTGGTTGGACAAAACAGGTTTTCTGTCTAGCGTTCAGTTTCTGAAACTGTGTTTTGTTCAATCCTTGTGTTTTACATTAAGCTAAGTATTAAACTTAAAACAGTAATTTTTAATGGATTAATCCAAAATTTAATAACTAGCTAAGGGTGATATTGGAAATGATTTTTTAGAATCAATTAGGTTAAGGTATCGTATGTTATTATAAATAATGTATTCAGTAATCACTGAAATAAATGAAAATCTGTAATTTTCATTGTTTTATTTTCCCCTTGTTTTCCCAATGTAATAATTGTAAAGAATATAAGAGAAGCCATGAAAGACATAAGTATATAGAAATTTCGTTTGCATGGAAAAAATGATTTCCCATACTTTGTACCCTTCTAAAGCGTGATTTCTTGGATAAAAACTCATATGTCCTTTCCGGGACTCTCTCTACACCAAAATTTATCTGAATCGGTTTAACATGAAGAATAACAAAGAGACAGGCATAGTATCACATTTATAATTTTTAGTATAGATACTTGTTATTCTTACATATTCTAAAACAAAGTCCCCCGCCTTTCATATTTTCTCCAACAACTACATATTTTTACACGATTACCAAAAAAGAGTGATATGTTTTCAGGCTTCATGTATTTCACCAAAGGTTTATGGCTTGAATGGCGCGGAGCACAAAATGTATTGTATACCACTACACCGCTAAGCGAAACGAGGGTAGGTAACAAGTTATTGATAAAATTGACATTATCGTCATTGCAATAATGTTCCCTCTTCTGCACAGGCCTTCAATACGGATGGAATAGGGAGATTGGGCCGTGATCTGTGACCCACCATGCAGGTACTATCGATGGGTACTAACGACTGCGGTAACCTCCGAATGTCGGAGTAGCTCGAGGTAATAAGTTTTTGGTCTACAATCCTATGAACTGGCATTGTAAAAGTTGCTCAACTTCACGATAAAATTGTAAATGATGAAATTTCAAAAGCGAGTGTCTCTTTTTAATCCAAATATACCAAGTAAATAACAATACTAAGGGGGCGTCCATAAATTACGTGAGATATTTAAGGGGAGGGGAGGGTCGAGTCAAATCTCATCTAATCTTACGTTGGAGAGAGGGGGGGTCTCGGCAAATATCATGCAATTTTTTTTCACTGTAGTTTCTATTAAGTATTCTATTGTTAAATTTTTATTACACTTATAACTCTCAGCAATATTGATTACTAGTCTTAACTAGTCGTAAATAATGATTTTTTTCTTTTCACGAAGCATATTTTTTTCTTTTTACAATAACAATCCAACGCGTTTACGAAAGAAACCCACATTTTGAAAAATCTCACGTGAGATTGGGGGATGGGGGAGGGGGTTGAATAAAATCTCACGACATCGACGTAATTTATGGACGCCCCCTAATGCTGATGATGCGAAAGGTGTGAGTAGGTACCATATTAGCCAAAATGGAAATGAAATAGCCAATGACGTAGGTATATTAAATAACTATAAAACATCATTAGAAGTAGCATTACTATCCACTCAAGCCCGAGTCAATGAAGATATTTTTTAATGAACCAGAGAGCATAGCTTCTACTATTGGCACTAAATATCAACGATAAACAGGAAAATGCAAGTTAAGTGTTCATCAGATAAACATTTGCGTACTCCGAAAGCTGAACCCAGGGTCGTTCATCATCATCATCATCATCGACCCATGCTCGTCCACTGCTGGACATAGGTCTCCCCTAATGCACGCCACTGCTCCCGATTTTTGGCCACTCTCATCCAGCCCACTCCAGCCAGTCTACGAATGTCATCATCACATCTTGTCTCAGGGCATCCTACACTACGTTTACCGAGTCGCGGTCTCCACTCAAGAAATTTACGGCTCCATCGGCCGTCAGTTCTGCGGCTAATGTGACCCCACTGCCACTTCAGTTTGCTAATTCGGGTAATAACCCAGGGTCGTTGCATACAGAGTATTCTAGAATAAGCTTGCTGTCGAATCGTCAAAGCTATCATTTAAAAAAATAAAATAAGAGAACAATTGAATGTAAAAATCTATTTTGCTTTGATCTCCCACTAACCCCTCAAGGGATACAATGTCGCGGAAAGTTGTATAGAAAATAAAAATAATGAAAAATAAGCAAAGTCTTAAGCTGCATGAATACAAAGTGTGTATCGACGTTTTGTTTTATTATAACATATCTAATCGAACAACATTTCGATAGCTCAAAGGATTATCCCTTCTCGCATTACAAGTACTGTCTAAAATCAACAACGATAAAACATTGACAGCTCTTTCATATTGTGAACAATAAGAACGATTTTCATTT